GTGTTTTTTTTCGTTTGTTTCCCCCCCCCCCCTTCAAAGAAGTGTTGACTCTCCGGTTCGTTGTACTTCTAATTATTATTTTATTTAAATCTACGACCTAATTGTATTCTTTAAAAATGTATCAAATATATATTTTATGGTAACTGTCCTTCAAAATATATGTATATGTGCGGAATTGAAGACGCTTCAGCTAAGCGAGGGGAACCGGCGCGTTGGATGTTTAATTCAGCACCGGCATTGCGTGACGGTTGTTTGAATAACAAGTGGTTTGTTTTTAAAACCACACCTTTTAAAATTTAGGTTCAAAGGATCATAGTAGAAGTCGTTGATAATAATTGAAAGGAAAACCAGCAGAAATCGAAGCCACCATGTCTGGAGAAGTGCGCTTGAGGCAGTTGGAGCAGTTTATTTTGGATGGGCCGGCTCAGACCAATGGGCAGTGCTTCAGTGTGGAAACGCTGCTGGATATACTCATCTGCCTCTACGACGAATGCAATAACTCTCCGCTGAGAAGAGAGAAGAACATTCTTGAATACCTAGAATGGGGTAAGTTTGTATTTAAAAAAAAAAAAAAAAAAACCCTCTCTAGCTCAGCATTATGATTTAATTGTTACAGAGAGTTGTCATGAGTAAACTCTAATGAGTATATAAACGTGTAATATACGGTATATAGTATGCAATATATTATATATGTTACCATGACATATGGTATATTTAAATATACATACAATAAAAGAGTAGACACCAATCATTCAATCATTTTTTTTCTGGTTTTCGGTGAATATTTTCCCTTGGAATACAAACCAGGCTGCTCAGTCAGTCGTCACGAATTAATGTGGAATTTACGAGAAAGAACTTCTGTTTTCAGGTCAGCAGTAAGAGCTTTTGAGTAATTCTGTAATGGGCAAAAATGGATGATTACTGGTGGTGTAACAGACATTCGGTGGAGAGGTATTTATTAGTTGGCAGCATTCCTTCCCAGACTTCGGGAATCACTCTGGCAATGGGAGGAGATATTCAGATATCTTACGTCAACAGGAACCTGAAGGTAGTTTATCAGTGGGTTTTATTTCATCTCCATTTAGTGCAAGCAAAGGAACTACTAAGCATGGACTTTGCATAAATCGTCAGGTTTGCAAGATGACACGACATAAATGTTTAAAAATTTTGTGATAGTAGTTGGGAGAGAATGTTTGGGAGCAGCTCCTGCCCGAAAGTTTGATTTTTCTCTACACTTAATTCATATCTGAAATGGTTAGAGTTTTGTCTTGTCTCCTAAGTATATATAAATATAGATATGATTTAGAAGACCAGCTGTAATGTGGATCAGTGATGAGAGCAGGCGCTCCCATGTGACCTTCAAGCTGTATCCAATGTTACCTACAAGTCCATTCAAACGCCCAGCTGTTTTCTGTTGGAAGCATGTACATCATCACCCACACCTGTATTGGTACATTGGCTTTTGAAGGATAGCAGCCTCAGTAGTACTGTATTTTGTACCTTTGTAATGCTAATAATTTTAGTTTGTTGGAAAGTTTTGATACTAAAATGTCTTTGTTCCCAAGTAGGCTTTATTTTCCTGAAGTAAAAGTCAATTGGTGATTATTTTGTTTTGTTTTATATTTGAAATTTACTGAAAGTTAGTTTGCCAGGTAAATCACTCATTCAAGGTTGCTTACATTTATATATATAAATGTGAATAGAATGGTTATTTGAAACAATACCAGACTTGTACTGGGAATGTAAGAATTCTAAACCATCTTTCAAGTGACTTCTAACTTAAAAGTGAGACAGTTTTGACTTTGGTACTGGTTTTGTATGTCTCTTATTTTTGTGTGTAAAGTAAAATGTTTTATAACATAGTTTTACATCCCATGTTTTATAAGTTTAGAAATATTTTAGTGCTTTGTTTTTTTTTGAGATTTAAAGAAAAGTTTTTGGTACTTTTAGAGTTAGAATTTCAGTTCTTGAATTACGGTTCAAGAACTCACTCTAGTCTATGATTATGATTGTCATTTAACCTCTATTCTTTTGCATCTGCAAAATGATGGGAGAACTCTTTTTACGTACCAGTAGTAAATATAATTTTAAAATTATGACAGAAGAGAAAACCATATGCTCAATTACCTTTTGGTATTAAGAGTTTACATAGTAGTTTTATGTTCTGAGAGATTTTGCTGTGCAGTATTATCGGAATAATTGATGTATGTTTTCCACCAAATATATTTCCTTGGACTCTGTTTTTTATATATGTATTTAAAAAACTCTTGTTGTACATATTTAATTTAAACCAAACAAGCAAAAAGTCAAGTAGGTTTTTGGCCAAATACACTTTATTACTGTATTTTAAATTCAAACCAGGGACTTTTCACAATGTAAAACAAATTAAGTTTTAGTAGTGTGCTTCATGTGTTGTCCTTTTAGAAGTTTGAGACAAACAACATGACAAAAATGTACAGCCTTTCAAGTCAACTTCTATTGTGTTTTTCAGTGAACCAGACCAGAATTTTTAAGGCATTATTTTGCACCTTTGGGGCTAGGCAGTGTCAGTTAAGTCTCAGGCATTTTTAAGTATGAAGTCTCGAAAGTGGGAGTTATTGACCACAGAAGTTTGGGTAAAGAGTAAGAAAAGAAATGTAAGAATGGAGAAGCTGTCAAGAGATGTGTCATAAATAATAGTATTTACTACCTTTAAGTTATTTGAGAATTTAGGTTATTTAAGAATGCCAGTCTCTTCAATTAATTTAAGTATTAAAATAGGTCAGCTGCTCTTCATGTATGAATTGATTACTACACTTTGGAGAAAAGTCCAATTTTTTTCTCAGTGTCTAGAATTATATAAAAACAATTAGATTAAAGAAGTTTCCAGATAGTGACTGGACCTCAATTTAATTTTTTAACCTTTTTTTTGGGGGGGGGGGGTTGTAATGGAAAATTACAGTGATTGTTTGTTGGGGTTAAATTTGATAATTTAGGTTTTGCCTTAAAGTGATAGTTTTTAGTTTGAGTTTTACAATATTCAATATTTGCAACAGAAGAGCAGTAGTTAAATACTCTGTAATATATGCTGTGTGTTTGTGTTTGGCTCTTTATATTAACGAAAGTGTCATCTAGATATTCCTTATTTTTATGCTGATAATAGGTTATTTTTGAAAACGGAGTCAGCCACGATTCTGTCTGCCTTAGTTTATTTCTATCATTTTCATTTTATTTCTAATTATGGTCCATTTCACTTTTATATTGGTACAGTTAATGTTTTGTTCATTATAGCATCATGACATTAAGAAAACTGGCAATTCAAAATGATATATATATTTGACAGCACTCCTTGCTCTTGGTGCTGATGACTTGAGGGAGAAGATAAGTAGAGCTCCAGAAAGGAAGAGGGGATTAAACCCATAAGCAGTAGAGCAAGGGGATCAGATTTCCTTAAGGCCATAGGTCACTTTTAAATTTAATATATATTTTCCAGTTATATCCAATAAGACTCGAAAGACTATGTTTTGTTTCCTTTTTTTTTTAAGTTGTTGAAATGATAATGGTTTGTATGTTCATTATATCAGAGTTTGGATGTGAGTAGTATGACTCTAGAATAAGTTACTATAGAGCTGTAAAAGTAAAAATAACTTTTATGTTATAAACTAACTTGCTAGGAATAATGAAATTCATTATTCATTGACTTGGTTTCCCTCTACTTTGAAATGGGAAATTGGAATTTTAGGTAATTCTTTACCAACTTACTTAAAAAATAGATGTAAGATAGTATTACTCAATACAAAAGAAACATTGTAGGTATCTGTATGTGGATAACTGGTTCTTGATACTTTCTGGATCTTGGACTTTGTAACATTTCATTTAAATTAACCTTAAGTAAGAGTAATTTTATAGCTTATTCAGTGTATACACAAACACATGCTAGTCTGACTGATTAATAAACTTGTTACTAGAGTACATCAGCAGGTACTGTGGTTTAAACTTTTCCTTTCATTAGCATAGTTTTAAAGATTATTCACATTTTTTTCATGTGTGGGTCAATTAAGTGAGGTGATGATGGCTTGATGAGAAGGATCTGAATCTTTTCTAGGCTATTTTGTTCATTTCTGCTGTTCCTCATTATTAGCTTTTCCTGAGTAGAGTTTACTAATCATACCTAATTGTCAACATGTTCATTTAATGTAGATGATTAAAATTATTTTTATTTAAATCTTCAATAAGGATCTTTATGTCATCAGAAATATAAGTCTGGCAGTTACTTCCTTTACACTAGCCACCTAATATTCTGTTGTAAGAAGAATAGTAAGTACATACAGTGATTTGATTTAACAGCACTGGCACTTGGTAGAAGCATGCTCAGTAAGTGGTGGCTATTTTCCATTTCTTTTCTGTTTTTAAGAATCTATTGCTCTATGAGTGAGAATAGGGATGTCAGAATTAGCACTTTGAGAATTTTAGGGATTTATTTCATGTGGAAATATAAGGCATACATTAGCATAGCAGTGTAAAAACAAAAACAAATAGCATAATATGTTGCAAATTTTATGAAATGTCCCATAATTCCTAGGACTTGATTAACATTACATAGTAAGCCCAGGTTATTTAATGGTAAAATAACTGAACTTGGTACAAATTAATATTTTATCGTGCTATTCTATGGCAGTCAAAAAATTTCTTCCCAAACCTTTTTTCTTTGGCACACTTACTGACCGTACATTGTATGCACAGCTCATTGTTTTTCATCCCCTTGGTTTTGGTTAGTTTGAAAGTCCAACCAACATTTAAAAAATTAAATAGACTAGAGTAGAAAATATCAAGTACATCCTGCGTAGAAAGAGTAGTATTAGGCACAACTCTTGTGTTTTCTTGTATTTCTTACCGTAGATTGGGATCGAAAGAGTTTGAAACGTTTTAGTCTAGATGAAGCTAAAATATGTTGACTGTTTAACAGCGAAAAGGTTATAGATATAGGTCCTTTTTTCAAAAAGCACAGTCTGATGGATTTAATGACGGGAAGAGAAGGAGATTAGGTAGGGACAAGATACTTGGCGGGGGGTATGAGGGAGAGAAAGAATAACATGAGCATAAATATACTGTTTTCCTGAGTTGCTACTTCGGTGTGACCTGCACAGGATTGGGTATTTTTTTTTTTTTTTAATATATCTTTATTGATTTCAGAGAGAGGAAAGGAGAGGAAGAGAGAGAGAAACATCAGTGATGAGAGAGTCATTGATCGGCTGCCTCCTGCAGCCCCCTGCTGGGGATCGAGCCCACAGCCTGGGCATGTGCCCTGACCGGGAGTCGAACCCCAATCGCCTGGATCCTAGGTGGACCCTCAACCGCTGAGCCATGTCCGGCCGGGCGATTGGGTATTTTAATTCAGAAGAACTTAATGGACAGAGAAATTAACTTCACTCCTTTGTGTTGGATGGTTCATTTCCTTTTTCCTTTTCTGGCTTTGGGCTCTTGGACGTTGACTTCCATTGATTGTCAGAACTGTGTAAGCTTGAATATGAGGAATAACCATATGACCTATAGGCATACTAATAGTT